TTTGGACATTACCTAAACCCCTAAATCCTAAACCTTTTTGAGAAGTGACTTCCTCATCACCCTATAGATCCCAAAATCCTCCAGACCCGCCCCGTCCGCAATCAAACCCCAAGCCCCAAGCGAAGCTCGATACCGTCACTGGCGCCAGCAAGACCCTGACGCGCCGCTTTGACCTTGTGGAAATATAATTTCAAAAGCAACAGAATGAGAGTTACACGGTCCCCCCGTATAAGGCGGACCCCACAATCCGTTGGTGATCTCCGTTTAACCGTGTCCCTTAAACCCTATAAACCCTAAACCCGAAAGATTTTGAACAACACCCACAGAGAACCGGTTGCTCAAAACTATGGCTAGGCTTGCTTCGTTGGTGTTTCTTAAAAAAAATGTGAAGGTCCCGAAAACAGAGTCAGAATTTCCAGAAAAACGCACCAAACCGACACCGACAAGGTCGTTGTCAAGATTTTCATCGGGATGCAGCCGGATTTGGTCGGAGACTTATGGTCGAGGCTTCAGAGGTTTGCGCTCTCCTTGTTTGTGTGGGCCTACCCTAGATATTCCTGTGTGTCCCTATGTAACCCTACAAAGATCCACGTGGATACAAGGACCTTTGAAATTCCAAGATCGGCTAGCCTGAAAGGCCCCCTGTTTGGCCCGCCTGTCCTACTTTTAACCTACCTAGCAAGCGCACTTATAACGCGAGTACACATGGGGCAACTTTGGTTATGGGTTTTAAGACGTAGATTATAAGTACAATGGGCCCTCCATTAATCCTCTTTAAGAAGTTTAGACTGCCGCTTATACAGGGATCGTTGTTGTGATACGCCTCCCCACGCACCAGGTAGGTGTTCACCGACTTGCAAACATGCAGCGCATGAATCTGCCGATCTTTAAGCAAAGCAGAAGAACCAGAACCCAACAAGCCGGGCCCGATAAGGTATCTACTTTCTTTTCACTATTATAACCCTTACACAGATATATATCTATATATACATACATACATACACACGCTTTTATAATGTAGTGTCCATTTTTTTCCATTCTGCCGATACAAGGTTGAAGGGAACAAGGAACCAAACAGACCGAGCTGAAATGAAAGCGGAGCGGCCTTGCACAAAACCGGAGTTGAAGATTCATAACTAGCGGGAAATGCAGATCTCATCGGCCAATTCAAGTGAGGTCTTGCCCAAGAGGTCCCAGTGCCCAAGTGTTAGGGTCATGCCAAAGACAAGTCAGATTACTTGGGTACTTAACCCCTCAAGGTCGTTTTTACTGATGTCGTGTGGGCGAGGAGAACATTTGATTGAGCAAGGGCCCTACAAAAAGCTTCTCTTACTGGTGGTTAGCAGGGGTGAAAGAATGGGTTCTAAGAACTACTAGAGGAATCCAATCCTCTGTGTCTTACTAACCACTCGTAAGTCACAAGGATAGGGGTTCAAAGGCTAAAAGAGGGGTACATATTTTGTACTTCCTCTGAGATGCCAAGACTACGTTACTACAGTAATCCCAGTGCTTAGTTCTGGGAAGGTGTCGGCGGCCAACACGGAAGATTGTCCAGAACAGAGCACTCTGAGGGGCCCCTAAACCCTCAACCTTAAACCGCATGCATGGAGATGACGAGACATTGGGGGCTCCTGTGAAGGAATATACATGAAGATTCCCTTCATCATATCGCTCAACCTTAATACTCCAACTCTAACCCTCAAACCTTACTGATTCTGAGTAGGGAATGAGGGAATATTATCCCTATGTAGCCCCTATATAATGTATTTGTGTTTCCTGCTAAGAAACACTACGGAACTTGACGTGTTCCTGCACACATCTATGGTCTCCACATATGGACAGCAATCATTGATGCTTTCAGCCATGTTCCAGGGATCCATTACACACCCACTGAAATACATGAGGTTCAGACACCACTCCCTGTTCATTGGATGTCTTATCCCAAAGGTCCCTAGAGTAAATCTAACTTGAGAAACACCACCCCAGACGGCCCAAACCCTAAAACCTGTAGATATCACCATAACCAGCTAGGGCCCCTTACCTTGATATATGGTAGTTTGAAAAAAGGGGACCCCAATAGACACTTCAAAATACTATAATCCTTCTTATGGGGACCCCTCCTGTGACCCTATGCCTTGGGTACTGCAGCCACTCATTAACAGTTGGATAATAAATATAATATGGATATTGGCCTTGATATGCCCCCTATTCATACACCACCTATATAACTCCTGTATCACCCTTACTTAGCCCCACATTATACTTGGAGGTCCATTGTACTTATAACCTGCTTAGTAACTGGAGTCATAACCCAAATATAAGTCCCATAACTACAGGTAACCTAGATGTAATTGGGTTATAACTACAGTTACTAAGTAGGATATGGTAGTTTGCCAAGAATAGGGGTACCCTTTTGGGGGTCCCAATAGTAAGGATTATAGTATTTTGGGTTCTATATTAGGGTCCCCCTATTTTGGGAATAAACTGTATAAGCACAATGGACCTCCAAGTATGCCCCTGTCTTCATCCTCTTCTGGGCCCCCAACGCTGAGAGCCCACTCCAGTAGCCCGCGGGCGAAGTGACGACTCTCCGAGGCAGCCTTCGGCAATCTGTTACACTGCTTAGGGTTTAGGGTGTTCTATAATAGATTAGAAGCTATGATGCATTATGGTGTATTCTAATCCCATTCTAATATAATGTTATTCTTTCATATCTTGATATACTTTCATATATTATCACACATTATGGTATATTCTCGTACATTACGGCATTTTACAGTATAATCAAGAGGATAACAAAAGCTTTGGGTTTAGGGTTTGGAGTTCGGGACTCAAAGTTTTAGGGAATAGGGTTCCAGGATTTAGGGTTGAGGGTTCAGGGGGTTTGTGTTAGCCCAATTAAAGAAGGGGTTTTGGTAAGTAAGGGTGTAAGGTCCATGGATCAGGGTTCTAGTGTGGCAGGTAAAGGTTATCCAAATTTTCTCATCAGCCATCAGCCTGGGGTGGGAGTAGGATTTAGGATGTCACCCCTACACTGCGGAACACAACATTTCTGAGGACAGCAATTGTCACTAGCGGTGTTCTGACGCGATTCTCAACGGATTTTTTTTACTAGCGCAAGCAATTCAACAGTGCCCTCTCAAACCACTCGGATTGACGCATGAACTTCCTTCCAATATCCTGAAATCTTCAGAGCCAATGCCCTAAGCACAATTGCAACAATGACAAGTCTGCACAGGGAACCTTCCTGATGGCATATGTACCAGTTTCCCAACATAACCTCTGCAGAACCCCTTGGTACTCCTCAAGTATGGCCGTTTCACCAAATAGGGTGACCTCAACATAGACCAATATTATACTCCTTACTATAGGGACCCTAAACCCTAAACCGTAAATCCTAGAACCCTAACCCCCCCAACCCTAATTCTGGGAAAGCCACCAACATCCCATCAGGCTAGGCAATTAAATTCCAAAAGGGAATTGTCCAGCAGGCCCCGGGAACCTCAGTTCTGAGAGGGTTTGGGGTCAGGGGATGGGGTTTGGGGGTTGGGTTTAGGGTTTGCATTTCGGGCTTAGTATGATCGCCTTTAATTCGAGTTCAAACTAACTTGGAGTAGAATAACTATTCTTTTTGAATAGAATTCAAGAGTCCTGGAAACATGAAGGCCGAGTTCTCTTAGCCCTTCCTGTTCTCTACAAAGCTGAACTCAACTGGACTATTAACTTTACTTGCCTGGCTCCTATTGCCGAGGACGCTGCCCTTCCTATCTTCTTCAACTAGAATGAGCTGAGCAACTCCCTTCCTTCTCTTCCCTCTCTTCTGAATTCCCGCAGACTTTCAATCGAAGCCGAAGGATATCCCTTCCCGTATTGGTTGTGATAAGAGCTGGAGGATCCGCAGACCGCCTCCCATTCATGTTGATGACTTTTTATTGCAGAGCCCCCCTGTTCGTTGGGGGGCACCACGCTAATCAAGATCCAACCTTAGATATGTCGGCCCCATGCATTTTTCAAATTGGGACCTGCACCATCCGGCCTCAATAAGGTTCACACGCAACGAAAGTGACTCCTAGGAGCGTAAGATGTCACATAAGACCCTGAGCCCCGAAACCTACTACACCCTGACCGCTCAACCCTAAACCCTAAGCCTACACCCTATAGTCTCCCTTAAGTAGATAGAATATGGCTTTGGGTATATTATAATAAGATCCCCATCCCCCATATTCTATCTACTTAAGGGTGACTATAAACCCTCAACCGAACCCTGGTCTACCTCTTTCTCCCGTGTACGGTCGCTGGCAAGACAGCAAGTAAGTCTGCAAGGACCACACGACGGTCGAGCAGCGCGACTGAAAAGCTTTCTAGCCCTCCCGAATACCTATACGCATACTAGCAATAATGATTGCTATACACACATTAAATAGCAATGGGGATTACTATAATTACAATACTGGTAACAACAGCAATATTCATAGTAGAGCCTACAAATTGCTATTGTGCAGGCGATAATCTCAGGCCATTAAGTATCCTCTCGGCCTTCGCGGTCTAATATAATTTGTATAGGGAACCTAATATGCACCCCAAAAAAATACTAAATCCTTATTATGTGGACCCCTAATCAGGTACCCCTAATTTTGGGAAACCCCCCATATTACGGCGAATATGGGCATTTGGGAGGCCGAGGGTTCAGTCTTTCTGTAGAATGCCGCGTATGCCGAAATCGTTGAGAAAGATTCCCTCAAGCACTTGCCTGGAACAAAGTTGGAGTCACATTTTTTTTCTCAGGCAGGGATACCCTCCGGGACCGGACCAAAGGGCTGTATAACATGATCGTGGGAGGATCTCTGCCAATTATTCTAAGGGATTCCTCTGAGAAATTGCTAGTACAGGAAGTGCTACTTTCATTCTCGATGGTCTTACCCCTTCAGTAAACAAATAAGATAGATTACATGTTCAGTTTGGAGGGCATTCAAAACAATGTCAAGCGTTGACCAAGTTGCAGCTTGAAGTACTTCACGGTGTAGTCGGGAGCATTGCACTCCACTGGAGTCCCTGCCTCTATACGGCGCTTGTCAGAAGCTACCGCCAAGTGCCAGCGGGCACCATCCTGCGAACAAAAGATCTGGAAATGCACCGTCTGTGGAACGTGGCTTCGAAAGCAGAAGTCTTGAAGATACACTGAGAAATGTGGAAGTGCCCAGATCACGTAGCTCCCGCTCATGCGCAGGCACTCTGGCTCGTTCCTGGCACAGCTGCAGAGATAGTCCTGGAACAGGCTCCCCCTGGGATTCAAAATTTCTGTGGAGAGCGAACCCAGAGTCAAGGTCACCCAGTATCCCAGGAAGTATCCATTGGGATTTTGGCTTTGAAGCTCCCATAAGCTTCCCAGCACGTCCACACTACACCGCGCAGGCTGGCGGCTTTCCAACTCTGAAAGACACTTGGCAATGATAGCCTGGCATTCGTTGTCATCCCCATTTGCCTTCCGCTTCTTGTAATTCCCCCAGCTTGTAAGCAGCTGTGATAAGGCCTCATTCTCAACACACAGAAGTCTGGACTCCAGAATTTCGGACAGCAGCTGGGGGCCAAAGGCTGGGCGAAGGCGCAAGGCTTGCTTCGGACAAATCAAGATCTGCTCCTTGGCTGCTCGGCGTATCCTGGCAAGTCCCAGACGGTTCGCAAGTTCGAAGACCTGGGTGGTTACAGACTCTTGGTTTTGAAGTTTGGGATCTAGAGAGGATCCCCTTTTTCGGGCTTAGATCTAGTACATTCTGGGAAGTGTACCTGAAGCTCTAAACAGGAATTAAACCAAAACCCGAAATCCGGGGTGTCAGCAACTGCGCGCCTGGCATGCTGTCTCCGGACTCAGGGCGATATCACATGCTTCTGTGCAAAGCTGGTGGAGCTTGTCGACTTGATATTTGTCTGCAACTGCTGCAACCTCCACCAACGTCACCAAGGTACCCTCAAGAACACCTGGGATGAGGTTCCTGAACTGAAAATGAATCACCATAATATTCCCCTGAGCTGCTAATAGCAAAGCCCCCCACTCCGTAAATATTCCGTCAATGCTATTTTGGCCACATGGTGCATCTTTAGAAGGGTGGAGGGGTTCATCAGGGGAAGGTGATTCATCATAGTGACTTAAGATCCTGAATAGTAAGCCAGACACCAGAGTACAAGAAGCGAAGGAACGCTTCGACAGCAGCAGCAGAGAACTCGCGAATAGTGACCTACGAAGGACGCGGCAAGTTTAGGAGTTTAGGGTTGGGGGTGGGTGACACAAGGGCGATGGACCCTCTGAACAAGTTCGGGAGTTCGGGTTAAAAGGGCAAACACGAGGGACCCAAGACCGAAATGTCCTTCAAAAGGTATCCGTAAACCCTATACCCGACAACAAGGGCTTGCCCGAAGCCCTATAAGCCCCATACTGTCCCATAGACGCCCGAAGATCTCAACTTCAGTGTCCTCTACCTTTAGAAGTGAAAAGAGGGAGCAGTAGCATGAACCATGCAGTGTTCATATTTTAGATATCTTAACGTTCGCCTGTGTATGCATATGTGTTTGTATACGGATGTACATATATACATATATATATAGATGTATAGATAGATGTATATATATATATATACATATATCTGTATACATTGAAATATTTCCAGGTCCCTTTCCGGTAGCCTCCCCAGACCCTGAGACCTTGGGCATAAACCTTTACCCCCGAACCCTAAGCCTTATCTAAGTCTGACATTGTGGACCCTGCACCCTGAAGCCCAAACCTCAAAACCTAAACCCTACAACCTTAAGCCTAAACCCTAAACC